GATGTTTAGTACTCTTCTCCAACACCACAACTCAGAGGCATCAATTCTTCTGTCATCCTTATTTATTGTCCAGCTCTCAGTCAGATGCATAACAAGTAATTGAAAAAAACCATGGCCTGAATCAAGCACACCTTGGTCTTCAAGCTTACATCACTGCTCATTAGCATTTTGGAGAGATCCCTGACAGCAGACTTGCACAGAGTAGTACATCTCCTGACTTCTGGTACCAAAGGTGTTGACCAAGCACCCAAGCAAGACGAAATCATTAGTTGTTTCTATCCTTTCACTGTCTATCATGATGTAACTCCTTGGCCCAGCGGTAAGGACCTTTGTCTTCTTGATGTTATGATGAAATACATATTCAGTGGTAGAATTCTCACCTTGTGAGAAGACCTCTGATTCCACTGCCTGCCAGGGCACCTCACAAACTGCCTCTAACCATCTGTCAGTAGAGTTTCTTAACTAAGGCAGACTAGGAAGGAAATCAGTCCAAGGAAACCCTATGAATGACAACAGTCACCAAGGGGATGGTACAGTGGGGGCAGCAGGCCATTGTGTTGGGCGTGAGGGTATCATGAGTTGTCTTGATTCAGCAGCCGCCGTCAATGGGGGAGAGGGCAGTGGTGTGCTGGTGAACTGGTTCTCTGGTATAAAAAGATCTGAGTTGTGGCTTTGATGGTGTCTGTGGGAAGACACTCTCATCGTGGTGGTATTAGGCTACTAACATGACTGCCAGCAAATGCAGACGGGAATCAATACAGGCCTCCTCGGGGGTTTCTTCTGTACTTTTGCAACAGTCACAACCTCAGGTGCATAGATAGGAATGCAGTAGAGAGAATTCATTTGGAAAGGACAAATTTTGAGTGTGTGTTTGCTTTTAATATATTTAATTACATATATATATATATATTTTTTTTTTTTTTAATGACAGCTGTGTTTACCAACTGGCTCACCAAATTCCTGAAAATTTAGCAGTCTGCTCTCATAGCCCCACTAAGCTGGCCCCAGCAGGTGTCCTTTTTGTTATGTGTGTGATGTCTGTAATCCCTTCTTTGCTGGGCTTGAGCAGTCCTCTCTTGGCTGAGAGTCGATGGCCTTGGGTGCCTCAAAGACCTCATTAATCAATTTCTGGCAGCCTAAAGAAGGTCATTATTTGTCTGAATTATTAATTACACAGGATCGCCACCTAGTGATGCAAAAGAGGTTGTCAGAGCTATTAGATTTGACTGGTTTTGGTTTTTGAAGCAGTTTGAGCCTTTCTGACATCAACCCCTAGACCTCTGGTGGTGGAGCAAATGACCGAGTACTCAACTACTAGCCGAAAGATGGGTGGTTCAAACCCACCCAAAGGCTCCTCGGAAGACGTGCTTGGTGCTCTAAAAGGTCACAGCCTTGAAACCTTCCAAAACATGCTGGTTTGGTATGTGTCCGGGAAGCGCTATGCTCTGTAGAGGTCTTCATAGCTGCTTTCCAAAAGGAGGTTTCTAGGATTTTTTTCCCCAAGGTCTCTGGGTAGATTTAAATGCTAGCCTTCTGGTTAACAGTTGATTGCATTTTGCCATTTTACACTAACCCTGGATGGAAAAGAGGCTCCAACTATAAAAATCTGGAGGGGTGTGTGTGTGTGTGTGTGTGTGTGTGTGTGTGTGTGTAACACAGAGCGATGCATTGCCAACCCTGCTTTAAGTAACCCCTCCCAGGGTGCTCTGATTACACCCTCCCTGCCACCCTGTCCTTTCACTTCCTCATTGCTGGGAAGTCAGAAATCAGACCACTTCTGATACCCAGGCTAATAGCTCTTATTAACCAAATGCTGACACATCCTCTGTACATGGATTGCTAAATTAAAAGATTGTTCACCCAGCCAGCTTGCAAAGAAGAAAGCACTTTTAGAGCAGCGAGTGGGGGTTTTCAGCAGGCATTTAATAGGAAATGATGTCATACTGATGGTCTGTAAGATGCCTTTCCTCTTAGAAAAAGAATATGAAAAAGTGAATGGGGCAGGAGGACTGGCTTAAAAGGTTACTTAAATCCTACCTTCCAGGCAAGGGAGCTCCAGGCTGCATCCAGGGCCCCCTCCAGTCAGGAAGAGTCCTGCTCCCAGCTCCCAGCCATAACTGCCACCCAGCTTTTCCCTCATGGTCTGACTTGTTTGTCAGCACCGAGTTAGGGTCTGTCATCTCACAACCCAGTGTGCAAGCTGTGCTGAGAGAGCTGGACCTCCAAGCTGGGCGTGCCTTATCCTTCCAGAGCCTGGGCCTGACGAAGGCCTCTCCCTTTTCCTGCTTCCTCCCACATTTCCAGCTTGCCTCTGAGCAGGACAAGGCAGGGTGCAGAGCTGTTGCTATAGTGTCATAAGGAGTCCCAGGCCACTGTACGGCACTTAACAACTTCCAAAGCCAGCCCACCTCACCGAGTTGAGTTGCAGCCCAGCCCTTCTTTGAAGACATTCTGAGCTTACATGTCTTTTGCTAGCATTTGCTTTCCTTTGGTTTGTTGTTAAAGTCAGGTGTTAGGGCAGGGCGCTGGGGAGGGCATATTATTCTTTTTGTGTGTTTCAATAATTTAATGGAGATACTTAGGAAAATCATTATTTCAGATATACGTATAAAGAGCTCATTCAATAGAAACAAGTTATGGTTGTATGCTTTAGAAACAACATGCAGGTAGTGATCCCACTTCGTTTCCATGCTGTTGAGTCATTCTGATTTGTAGCTGCCCTACGTTGGGTTTCTGAGGCTAAAGATCTTTATGGGGGCGACAAGAGAGCATCATATAGAAAAAGAATAAATGTAAAGTCAGAAGTTCCAGGTTGGGGTTGGAGTTCCAGTGCTGCAGGCATTTTGACTGGCATGACTGGGCTAGGGAGTGCCACTGACATCTAGTGGGAAAAAATGAGAGATGCTGCTGATATCAGCCCCCACAAAGCAGAATGATCCTCCCACGGCGGAATAGTGCAGAGGTTGAGAAACTCTTCTCTAGTTACACCTTTGCACAAGAATATTTACAGCAGCATTTTTCATAGTAAGTAAAATGGGAATCCATCCACTTAACCAACAGCAGTGGTCTCAATAAACAAATTGTACCATTCGTACACTGGAACAGTTTAAAGTGACAAAAATGAACTAAGGTTCAGCATGAATACATCTCAGATGTCCTGAGTGATGGAAAAATATGTGTACTAATTCTTTGAATCATTGTTATGCGTTGTCTAGTCACCTTCGACTCATAGCAACCCTATGTACCACAACCCTACTCTATCCTGTGTCAATCTTATTGTCTTTGACACACCTACCCACATTACCTCAGTCACTGAATCAATCCACCTCATAGAGGGCCTTCCTCTCCTGTGCTGCCCCTCCACTCTCCCAAGCATGATGTCCCTCTCCAAGGACCTGTCCCTCCTTACAACATGTCCAAAGTATGTCAGACGAAAATTCAAAATCCTTGCCTCCAAGGAGCAGCCTGGTCTCACCCTCTCTAGGACGAACCTCTTTGTTCTCCAAGCAGTCTAGTGTGATTCAGAGTGATCCTAACAACCCAGAACAGCCTGGCTTTCCTCACAATTTCTGATCTACTTGAGCCCATTGCTGCAGTCACTGTGTCAAGCCATCTCGTTGGAGGTCCTCCTCTCCTTTGCCGTCACTCTGCCTTCCCAAGTGTATGGTGTCCTTCTCCAAGGAGTGGCTTTTCCTAGCAACACGCCCAGAGTATAACATTTAAGACTAAATCTTATCATCTTTGCCTTCAAGGAATACTCTGGCTGCACCTTCTCCAAGACATATCTGTTTGTTCTTTTGGAAGTTCATGAGATATTCAGTACTCTTCTCTGATACAACAGTTCAGAGGCATCAATTCTTCTCCTGTCATCCTTATTCACTGTCCAGCTCTCAGCATCATAGCAAGTGATTGAAAAGACCATGGACTGAACCAAGTGTACCTCAGTCCTCAAATTAACATCATTGCTCCTCAAAAATATGGAAAGGTCCCTGACTGTAGACTTTCTCAGTGCACCTTACCTCCTGATCTCCTGACTGCTGGTACCAACTATATTGATTATATATATAGTTTTTTAAGAATATTTACATGAGGGTAAAAGGACAGTGCAAGTAAGGAAGACCCAGCTGAGATGGATTGACACAGTAACTAGGGCAATGAGGGTAGGTGTGTCAGAGACAGTGAGATTGGCTCAGTATAGAGCTGGGTCCAGAGCTGTTGTGCATAGGGTCGCTGTGAGTCACAGTCCACTCAACAGCACATACCAACAACACTAAATATATTAATATTTAGTATATACCCTGGTTAGGGTGTTTAGATGTGTGTAGGAATATTTACATGTGCAATAAATATATTATGGAAAGCAAATTATTACTACAAAATGTAGGTATTCAAAATTTGAGAGAATACAAATTGGAAAGGCAAATGCAGGCTGCGATGGCACTGCGAAAATTTCCAAAGTTAGAGGTGAAACACGACTATTAAGTGTGTGTGTGTGTATGAATATTAATATATTTGGAAACAACAGTATAACAGCAGTCAAATCTTTGTTAGAAGAAACCCAATGGTACGTACCATGGTTATGCATTCAATTACTAACCCAGAGGTTGTCAGTTTGAACCCACCCAGTGGTTCCACTGGAGAAGCTCTGCTTCTGTGAAGAGCACAGCCAAGGAAACCTTCTGAGGAAGTTCTCCTTCACACCTGGGATCACTATGACTCAGAATCAACTTGATGGCAAATAGCATTTATGAGGAGCCAACTCCGTGTCCAGATTAACTCAATCAGAGCTCACAACACATGCGCTTAGGCAGTGGCCTTTTCTAAGAAGGCACTTTAATTCTTGGGGGAAATGTAGGGTGTGAAGCTTGGGCCACTGGCTTCTAAAGGTGGAAGTGGACTTGAACTTGAGAAGTCTGATAGGCCTTGGGCTCTTAAGCACCACTCGGTGCTATTGCCTCCTATTGGTCCCCATCTCTCATCCATCTCCCCTCTCTCCACAGTGTCCGGAGACAAACAACCAGTCGACCAGCCCCCGCAGGGGGCAGACCCAAGCCCCAGCCCAAGCCTAAGCCTCAGGTGCCCCAGTGCAAGGCTCTTTACGCCTATGACGCTCAGGACACAGATGAACTTAGCTTCAATGCCAATGACGTTATTGATATTATCAAAGAAGGTAAGTGTGTGGCTAAAGGACTGGAACTTAAGTACACAGTGACTTTGATATAAAAAATTAGTTAAATATGAAGAAAATGTATGAACTCGTCTGACTGAAACTTGCATAGGCAAGCTCTTGGTTTAATTTAATCAGGACTCTAGGTTTGGTTTTTAATGCTATACGCTCCGCCCTATTTGTATTTGCTTCCTCTTTATGCTGTTTGATGTCATGGCTATAGATCAAAGCACAGCTGAAATCTACCTTATCTCTGAAGCATGCCTTTCTTTATATTAAAGTCATAGGTTTCACTTTAACTGAACCAAATTCATTTATGTGCAAATCCCTGAGGTTACATCCATCTACATGAGAACCCCATGGCTTTGGGATTGCAGTGCAGTTTCTTACCACTAGGCCTCTAGTTCATTGAGTCTTTATGAGTCATAGTTGATGGTACCTAAAATCAACAGTTACAAGACATGTTAGTTGCGGCCATCACTGAGTGTTACATTTTCAAGTGAGTATTATTATTCCTTCCTCACTATTTTCAGCTTTGTAGGAATAGCGTGCATCAGAGGGCTCTGGTGGTGAAGTCCGGAGGAGTTGTGCTGCTAACCCAAAGGTGGCTTTCTCTAGTGGTTCAAATCCACCTGCAGCTTCATAAAAGAAAGATGGGCAGTCTCCTCCCATGCAATTTACAGCCTCAGAAAACCTGCTGGAGAATCAATTATGAGTCAATACCAACTCGATGGCTTCAAGTTTTTGTGAGATCAGATATGATTAAGACACTTTCCTATTTGTGTAAAATATAATCCTAGAATTTATCAAAATATTCTAGCTATAAATTAACACTATAAATTAAACAGTGCTATATGAGTGTAAGAATGAATATCCACTTACAACAGATGCAAGAAACAGACTTGTGTATATAGTTTTACTTAATATATTATAATAAATTACCATATTTTATCATATATTGATACATGGTAAATGTGACATTTGAAATCAGAGAAGACTAGAAAATGACTTTGCATTTTTAGAAGGAAATCGTTATCTCTACCTCATATACAAAATAAGTGTCAGATACATAAAAAATCTAAAAATAACCAAATTATACTCTTAGAAGGAAACCCAGAACATTATATTACTTTTTGGAGGAGAAAAGCCTTCCCATGCAAAACATAAAACCCCAAGCCCATACAGGGTCTGACCTCATTAAAAAGTTAAATGAAAACCTTCTGCCTGGTGGAAAGCACCAGAAGCTGAGTTAAAAGACAGAAAACAGACTAGGAAAAAATATCTTACATGTACTAGAATAAGAAGACACACACTCTAGGCCCGAAGTGGGCAAAGGCGATTGAGGTAAGGCTCAGAAAAGCATCAGGAATCACCAGTGAGGGACAAAGCAAAACATCTCACCAGTAAGACTCTGGCAGAGAACAGAGTGTGATACGGATGGTCTGCATTCTTTTATGTAAACTCTTGGAGCCTGATGAGTTTCAGAAATTAGAAATAGGAGCTTTTCAGGGAGCTCTGGTGGCCTAGTGGCAAGACGCTGCACTAAAATCCCAGAGGTACGCAGTTCAAATCCACCAGATGCTCTGCTGGAGAAGGAGGGGCAATCTCCTGTACCAGTCAGATCTGATTTGACGGTACATGTAAAAATAATACAATAAAAAGTAAAAAAAAAAGAAATAGGAGCTTTTCAGAAGTTCCTAACTGTGTACATATCAAATATGCCCTTGGGTCCTAGGACAACACCATATTATCAAATGTATTAATGGTTCAGCTGTGTGTTTTCATCATCAGTGGGGAGAGACACAATAAAGAAATTGAGTTCACTTCAAGCCAACTGTCATGACCAGATGAACTGCTCTCCTTGCTGTCCACTAGGAACCAACTCATAGCTGACCTCCATTGGGTTTCTGAGGCTGTAAATCAACTAATAGGTGATTGCCCACAGAAAACTTTCCAATTTTAAGATTTTCTGGATTTAATCATTACAAAAATGAATGTGGACTGTGATAGTTACAATTAGGAAAATGAGTGCCCCCATCCCTGGTGTTTGCCTTAATACTTAGGGAGTCTGGTGGCCTAGTGGGTAAAAATTGTGCTGTCAACCCAAAAGCAGGCAGTTTGAACCCACCAGCCACTCTCCGAAAGGAAGAGGAGCAGTCTCCTCCTGTGTGATTTACAGCCCCTGAAAACCTGCTGAAGGGTCCTTTACTAATGGGTTCTGACTCAACAGCATTGAGTTTCAGCTTTGCGTCTTCGTCATGGGATAGTTGGGATAGGTTTTTTTGAGGAGAAAAATTTAACATTAGTTAAAGTTTTCAAATTCTTGTGTCAAAATAATTACTTTAGGTTTATACTTTACCCCTTACACCAAAATAAACTAAAAATGGATCAAGTATTTAAATCTATAAAAAGAAATGTAAAATACTAAAAGCAACCGTGGGAGAGTTTTCTTCTTTAATAATGCCAGAATAGGAAAAGACTCCTAAAAATAGCAGAAAACCCAGGAGTCATAAAAGAGTAATTGATTCAAGTAATTATTAGAACATGAAACATCTTAAAAGTTGTTAGTAAAAATAGGGAAGAGGTATTTAGAACTCCCAACAGAAAAAAAATTAGCAAAAGATATGAATATAAGAATATAAATCCACTAGCTGTTTCACAGGAGAAAGATGGGCAATCTCTTCCTGTGCAATTTACCACCTCTTAAAAACCTTCTGGAGAGTCAGCTATGAGTTGGTTCCGACTCAAAGGTACATAACAACGTGCAGCTATAGAAAAGATTGAAACTGGATATACGTGGATATGAAATAAGTCTTCATATCCATTGATATTATTGAGTCTTTAAAAGAAACAGAACATATGGACTACACTGTATGCGACCACTTGTGTAAAAAAAAAGTGTATGAATTTTATATGTACTTGTCAATATACACATGTAATATCTCTGGGCAAATATATAAGAAGCAGATAGTATTTGCCTCCAATGAAAGGATTGGGGTAGATGTTTTCACTCTTTATCCTTTCATGCATTCCAAAGTACTACTTATTAAAAAAATTTTTATAAAAGATCAATAGAAAAGTTCATATCATTTGAGAAATCAACCCTCAATTTTCTTTTTGTAAGTGAGCACAGATAGATACATAAATAATGAAAATTTGAAAACAAATGTCAATCAGTAATGGAATGGTACAAGCTGAGTTTAGAAGAGGCTGTGGCACTAGAGATATCATTGCCAATGTCAGCTGGATCTTGGCCAAAAGCAGAGAGTACCAGAAGAATGTCTATTTGTGTTTCACTGACTATGTAAAGGCATCTGACTGTGTGGATAACAACAAATTATGGCTAACCTTGAGAAGAATGAGAATCCCAGATCACCTGATTGTGCTCATGCAAAACCTATACTTGGACCAGGAGACTAGTGTGTGTCCTGTCTCCATACTTTTTCAGTCTGTACGCAGAACAGATCATTTGAGAGTCTAGACTTTATGAGGAAGAATGTGGCATCAAGATTGGAGGAAGATGCATCAACAACCTGCATTATACAGATGACACAACCTTACTTGCTGAAACTGAGGGCCTGAAGGATCTGCTGCAGAGGGTCAACGACTGTAGTTTGCAATACGGATTGACACTCAACATCAAGAAATCAACGACTCTCACCACTGAACCAATATGCAGCATCATGATAGATGGAGAAGAAATTGAGATCTCTTGGCACCAGCGGTCAGGAAATCAAAAGATGAATTATATTGGGAGATCTGCTGTCAGGGACCTCTCCAGAATGCTAAAGAGCAAGTATGTCAGTCTAGAGACTAAGGTGAGCCTGATCCAAGCCATGGTCTTCACAATTACTTGCTATGTATCAGAGACCTGGACAATGACCAAGGATGATAGGAGTTGATGCCTTTGAGTTGTGGTGCTGGAGAAGAGTATTGAACATACCATGGACTGCCAAGAGAACGAACAGGTCTGTCCTGCAGAGAGTGAAACTAAGCTGCTCCTTGGAGGCAAGGATTTTGAGACTCCATCTCAATTACTGTGATCATATAGCCAGGAGGGACCATTCTTTGGAGAGGGACATCATGCTTGGAAGGGTCAAGGAGCAGCGCTGGAATGGAAGACCCTGGATGAGATGGACTGACACAATAACTGGGGTAATAAGGTGTGTCTGAAATGGTGAGATTGGTTCAGGGTAGAGCAAAGTTCAGAGCTATTGTGTATAGAGTCGCTGTAAATCTTAAGTGACTCAAGGGCACATAACAACAACAACAGAGTAGCACTCTTCTGCTAAGCAAGGTCTGTGGTTTGAACCACCAGGCTGCTTTTTGGGAGAAAGATGTGATGTTGTTCTGCTTCTTTTAAAGACTACAGCCTCAGGAGAAGCCCTATAAAGGTGGTTCTACTCTGTCTTCTAAGCTTGTTATGAATTAAAATATTGTCTTCTAGGCTTGTCAGAATTAAAATAGTGGGATATAATGCATCTGGTTTTTAAAATGAGGTACAAATATTGAAGTTTACATGTTTAAAATATATTAAAAAGCAAATAATGCAGAATCATCAAATGTAGAATGACCTGTTTCTTTTTCAGGTAAGTTTTGTGTGTTTATAAATGCACAGAAAAAGAGCTGGAAGAGTATGCCAGAAATAGTATTATAAGGGAAGTGAGGATTATAAAAGTGTGTCACAGACTAGGTTGTCAAAGAGGCAGATGTTGCAATCAAGTAGAGGCAGAGAGTTTACTAGGGGAGTAAATAAGGAGCTGAAAGGCACTCTGGTGGCCTAGTGAGTAAGGAGTTGTGATGGCAGCTCAAAGGCAGGTGGTTTGAATCCACCATCTGTTATGAGGGAGAAAGAAGGGCAATCTCCTATGTGCAATTTACAGCCTCTGAACGCCCACTTGAGAGTCAGCAGACTCAATAGCAATGAGGTGAGAGTGATGCAACAGTTGACTAATCAATCACTAAATGAAAAGTTGGCAGTTCAAACTCCCTCCACCTCCAAAGCTCTCAAAGCTCTGAGAGAAAAGAACTGGTGATCTTCTTTAAATATGGTCGTCATGTACCATTGAGTCAAACTGATACATAGAGCTATCTCCTGTATCAGTCAGATCTGATTTGACGGTACACACACAAAAATAATAAAAATTCAAAACAACTATGAGATATCATCTCACCCCAGTCAGAATAGCAAAATTTAACAGAACAGCAAGCAACAAATGCTGGCGAAATTCTGGAGAAACTGGGACCCCCTTACTCACTGTTGGTGGGAGTGTAAAATGGTGCAACCTTTGTGGAAGGCGGTGTGGCACTTTCTCAAAAAGTTGCACATAGAGATACCATTTGACCCAGCAATTCCACTACTGGGAATATACCCCAAAGAGACCATAACTGACATCCAAGCAGATATATGCACACCCATGTTTAT